TTGATTGCCTGCCCCAGTGAACACTGGCTTAGGTACCCATAGCACCGGGGCTTTCTGAAGCCATATTCTCTGCTCCCAGAGTGTCCTTGATACTTAGATTTCCTTTCTCTAGATTCAACATGTGCGCTCTGGGAAGAGGCTACCTCATTTTCCTTTACTGGCAGTTTTGGCCTTGAGCAGGACAGGAGTTGGGTGGGTTCTCAGAAAACACCTGTCCATTTCCTTGTGCCCCTTAAAGGACTAGTTTGAGAGGCAGATTAAAATGTGTCTTCATCTTTGGGGAATCTGAGGTGATGAAGATGATTGACAGGACCCTTGAGCAGGGGTGGGTTAGTCCTGTCCCCCATTGTGCCCACGGAATGAAGGAAGCAGCTCTGACCATGTGGGTCTCTGTCCTCACACACACAGGGCTTGTGTGGTATCTGGTCCTCTTCTGCATTTCTCCTTTGCATATGGCATAGGGCTATCCTAGAGATGGAGTGGATAGCCTGGACAGTTTCTAGAATGTATAGCTTGTGGGAACAGAGCGGGTCAGTGTGATCCATCTCTCTTTCTAACATTGCCCTATGTTAATCTTGTGGGCTGGGCATGGCTGGGCATCAGCTTTACAGTCTAATGTATTATTATTAAAATAAAAACAAAGCAAAGCATTTTTGTGTTTCTGTTTTCTAAGGCATTTTACTCTCATTTCTCTCTCTCTCTCTCTCTCTCTCTCTCTCTCTCTCTCTCTCTCTCTCTCTCTGTGTGGTGCTGGAGATTGAACCCAAGGCTTTGTGCATGGTGGGCAACACTCTACCTCTGAACTATACTGTCAGCCCCTCACTGGTAGATTTTAAGCAGACCTACCCCTGAGTCATGCCCCCATCCCTTCACTGGGGGATTCTAGGCAGGTGCTCTACCTCTGAGTCATGCCCCCAACCCTTCACTGGGGGATTCTAGGCAGGTGCTCTACCCCTGAGCCACACTCCAGCCCCTCACTGGGGGATTCTAGGCAGGTGCTCTACCCCTGAGCCATGCCCCCAGACCCTCATTGACATATTCTGGGTAGGTGCCCAACCACTAAGGTACATATCCAGTTCCATTTTTCTTGAGACAGAGGAGTTGAGGAGTTCTTATTGGAGACTGTCTGCTCCCTGTGATGAAGTGTGCTTAGAGAGGTCCATGGGCTTAGAAGGGTTCCCCAGGAGGTTCCCTGGAGAGATCTGGCAGGTCACTGGTGAGCTAAAGGGGCTCACTTTCCACCTATCTCCTTGCACACAGAGGTCATTGGGAGCATCCACCCTGGAACTGGGAACCGTTCTTTACTGCTTCTCCCACTTTCGAGTCCTGCTCCTCCAGGAACGACACTCTTATCCAACATCTAGAGTTGCTCTTTGGGTCGATGTGGCCGCCCATGCCTGAGTGCTCTGAGGGTGCAGCCCATCAGATAGTTTTCTGGTCCCAAGGGGAGAGGTAAGAGCCAAATGGCAAATATTCTGACCTCAGATGTGAGTCTGACAGGCTATGGGCCAAGTCCATTAGACCTATGGCCCCACCCTAGCTATAGAGAACAACGAAGACTACTTTCCTTAGCTTTGGAGGGATGGTGCCTTTAGTCCCTGGCTGATGAGAGTCTCAGGTGCTCATTGTCACTAGACTGTCACCAGGAACCTAGGTCATTGCTGCTACCCTTCAGATGGGCAATGTTGTCTGACTTCGACAGGCTACTAACTAGGTACAAGGGCCGCACTGAAAGCCTGCAGTGCTGTGGACTTTGTAGACCACTCCCGAGGAAGCTGGTTCTGTGTTATTTACCCCAGGAAAACCTGGAGAGTGTTTCTCAGAAGATGCATTGTGATAGAGATAAGGACCACTCAGAGGGCTGGAGAGATGGCTCAGTGGCTGAGGGCATACTGCTCTTGCAGAAGATCCAAGCTAGAACCCACATCATGTGACTCACAGCCATCTGTGACTCCAATTCCTGGAGAGCAACACTCTTTTCTGGCCTCTGCAAGCACCTGCACACCCCCATATATATGTCTGCACTCAGGTCCTGGGAATGGCCTTCTCCCCAACAGCTGCTGTTGAGGTTAGCACTGGTGTCAGGGCATGAGTTCCACCCTCTGCATATGAAACTGACAGAGACATGGCCTGGCTTGGGTCTCCCTACCTTTCCGCTCATGCTAGTGTCTTGATACATTTGGCAAACACTTGCTAAGTGTCTACCACATCGTCCTTCAGGCAAAGGGTAGAACATAGAAGTTCATGTCCAAATTCAAGCACCAGCGAAGCTGAGGCTGACGACTGTGAGTTCGAGGTCAGCCTGGGCTACATAGTGAGAGCGATACACTCTGTTTTTTAATGAGTGCATTCAAATAAATAGGACTAGATAATGGGTTTCAAGGTGGCATTTTCATACATGTGTATTGTGTACTTGGATCATATTCACTCAGTGTTACCTTATATACCTCCTGCCTCTCACTCTGGTCCTTTTTGCCTTCAAAAGTACTGCCCCCCCCGACTCCCACTGCTATTAAATCCGTTCTTTGACAGTTTCATACATGTACACTGTGTTCTGGTTTCTCTCACCCTGCCCTCTCTTAGCTTCCTCTCACCCTGTCATCCCCCTCCCCTCTACAGGTCCATCTCCTACGTTCATGTCTTTGTGTTTTGTTTGTGACCCTCTAGTTGGCTACATCCGTGAAGGTGATGATTGCTGCTCCCCCAGAATCCATCAGTAGCTAATGGTCCAGCAGGGAGGAGTTGGCCTCCTGAGCCTCTCCCTGATCTGTGACCAGCTGTCCACAGGCCCGGTCTGCATAGTACCCACAGGTACCGAGAGGTCATTATGGTTGTGCCATGTCCCAAAGTCAGCATTTCCCAGCCCTTCTCCCTGTTTTCCGAGCCTTAAGTTCTTTACTTTTCCTCAGTGTTCTCTGAGCTGTGGTGTGCGTGTGCGAGAGAGAGAGAGAGAGAGAGAGAGAGAGAGAGAGAGAGAGAGAGAGAGAGAGAGAGAGGTCCTGTTTCAGGCTGAGCACTCAATTGTCTCGTATTCTGAGTGCCTTGAACTCTATCCACTGCTGTTCACTGTTTGGGTCAGATGCTGTGGGGCAGCAAAAATGTGCTCAGAGGCAGGATGTCTGGGAACCTATTACACATCACCCCTCCTATTTTCTTCCATGTCTTTAAAAAAATATAAATTTTGCTTGTAAGAGAAACCCTGCAGTGTCTTTTTGAGTCTGCCTTAGTTTTGCTTTATATGACCATCTCCAGTTTCACCTGTTTTCCTGTAAATGACACGACTTCAACTTTCATGGGTGACTAATATACCACATTAAAAAACGGAGTCATTTGATCCCGTAATGGCTGCTGTGGATAGTGTCGCAATGGCCTTGGATGTTGCTGACTTTGATTCCTTCAGGTGTACAGCCATGAACGCTATAGCTGGATTCAACTCCATGCTATATTATGTTAGTATTGGTTTTAAACTTCCATTCCAATTTCCATAGTGGATGTGCTAGTTTAAATTCCCACCAGCAGTGAACAATGTCTCTTCTTTCCCTACATTCTCCCTGGCATTTCTTCTCATTGGTTTTCTTGATGATTGCCATTCTGACTGCAGTGAGAGGCACTGACATTGTGGATTTGTGCCTTTCCCTGATGGCTAAGGATGCCATTTGGCTGCTTCTTTTGAGAACCATGTTCTGTTCATTTGCCCACCACTGATTTGAGATTATTTTTTCTTAATTTTTTTTTATATGTGTGAATGTGTGCCTGTGGGAGTTTATGTGCACCACCTGTGTGCAGTGTCCATGGAGGCCAGAAGAGGGCATCAAGTCTCTTGGAACTAGGGCTACAGACAATTATGGGAACATGGGAACAAAGTCAGCTCCTCTGCAAGAGCAGCCAGTCCTCTTAACCTCTGAGCCATCTTTCAAGCTCTTTATTCATTAATTTGATTGCTTATAATTTTGGAATCTCTGAAGACATAAGGCTCCTGCCTCCCGAAGGTTTTCTCTTCACCCTGGTAATTATTTCCTTTGCTGAGAAGGCTTTTAATTTGATGGGGATGCCATTCTCTTACCATAAACCTTGGGATGGATGGGCTTTCCATTAGCGAATGGGAAGACCATGGTCTGGAGGCCCCACACCTGTACCCACCAGTCCTAGAGTCTTTGTGTCTGTTACGTAGACTGGCATCAGGACACTGGTTGGATACTCTTGTTTTGTGTCACCTTCTGGAGCTCGCTTTGGGTGTGGATGACAGAAGTCATAGATTCCTCTGACGTATTTGTCTGGAGATGATGGTCCCCAATGTCAGACTCCCTGCAAGGCATAAGAGCCACCTCCAGCTGTGTCTCCAGGGTCATGCCACAGTTATCTCAGTACTCCCCACCCCCAGCACCCCAGGACCTCAGTGGTTCTTTCTAACTATGAGAGTAGATTCCTTAGGAAGATGATGGGCTTGGGCAGACATGGGGGTCTTCTTCAGAAATACGGGACACAGGGCATGGAGTAGTGGCAATAGGGAGCCAGGAGAGGTGGAGACCGAGTGCCTCTAGCCTGGGTTAGTAGTGATCAGAGTTTTCTTTCTTATGTAAACATAAAGTGCTCACATTGACTCCCTGGAGAAGTAAGTCCTCACAAGCCATTGGAGTAATCTATACCCTGAAGACACTCATGAGATCCCTTTAATTAAATAAAAAATGAAATGAAAGGGGACATGAAGCTGGGGTGGAGCAGTAGGGATGGATCTGGAAGGAGTGAGCATGATATGATCGAAATCTTACATGAAATTCTCAAAAAATTAGCAAAATGTTTAGAAAAGATACTTAAATTATTATTATTGTGTGTATGTATTGGTATGTGTGTGTGTGTGTGTGTGTGTGTGTGTGTGTGTGTGTGTGTGTGTGTGTGTGTTTGAAGCAATTTCTCTTTTTCTGCCATGAGCTCCAAGGATCTAACTCAATCTTATGTTGAGTCATCTCACTGACCCACATCACTTCTTTTCTTTTTTGTAGAACAACTCTTTATGTCGCTCAGACTAGCATAAAACCCACGGACATCCTACCTCAGCCCATGGAGTGCTGGGCTCACAGGTGTGGGCCATCGTGCCAGCCACCCGGATCTTCTTACTCTGGTCTCTTCAGAGTGGCCCTCTCTGAGCTCCCTCTTAGGACATCTCCCTCCCCTGCCCCTAGTGTCTGTTCCCACAGAAGGGAATCAACACCACCCACCATGCTGCTCATCCCCACCTCCTCAACAGGGGATTGCCGGGCTTCTAGAACATGCCTCACTCTGGGATGTGTTCCAAGACCATCAGATGCCTAGACAAACGGACAAATGAAGATACTCACGTGTTGCTGGTGTACATGCAGTCAGTACGACAATTCTAGAAAATTCCAAACCACTGTCTTCCTCGCCCTCAGTTGGTAGGACATTGCTAAATGCAGAAAGGTTAAAAAAAAAAGTCAATTGGAAAACAAAGGACTTGCAATCTCATCTGTAGTCTTTGTTTTTGGATGGATATCCTAGCATGTTTCTCTGATTGTATGAATCACAATTTCATTGTTTCTACTTTGCTTAAAAAGTTTTTTTTTTTAAGTAGGTTCTCACTATGTAGCCTTGGCTGCCCTGGAACTCACTGTGTAGATTAGGCTAGCTTCAGAAACAAAGTTATTTATTTACTTTTATTTTTAGTGTACGAGGGTTTGTCTATATGTACGTATGTGCACCACATGTGTGCAGTGCTTGTAGAGGTCAGAAGAGGGCATCAGGGCACTGGTAACTGGTGTTATAGACACTTGTGAGCTGCCATGTGGGTGCTGGGGACTGAATCCAAGCCCCCTGCAACCAGTATACTTAACTGCTGAGCTATTTCTCCAGCTCCCGCAATTGTCTGTTTGGTTTTTGTTGTTGTTGTTATAGAACAGATATGAAAAACCCTTGGCAGTTAGCAAGTACATTTCTACAATATTGTTTTTACCCAATGCAGCACTGTCTACTCGCCTACCCCACGATTGTATATGAAATACATGTACTCTTCTGTTGTTGGGCATTGGCTTGTTTCTGGGAGCAGAGAACACATTGTATCCAAATCCTCACATACATCCTGGATGGGTTCCTTTGGAAACAAAATCTCTGGATTCTGATTTTGTTTTTGTTTTTGAAACAGAGTTTCATTATGTAGCCCAGGCTAACCTGTGACTCTGCTCCTCCTGCCACAGCCTCTCAAGTGTTGGGGTTCCCAGTGTCCATCAGCTTGTCCTGCTGGGTCATGCATTTAAAGCAGTTTGGTAATATTGATGAATTATCCCTGCTCCTGGTTGTCTAGTTCACCCCTCCACCGGTGCGGTAGAGAAACCTCTCTCACTCCTCCACATTCTGTCTCCATCACCGCTTCTGTCTTTATCAACTCGGGGACAGACAAGTTCTCATTCCTGCTTTAATTTGCATGTGTTTGATTACTAATAAGGTTGGGCATCTTTTATGCATATTTATCATTTGTATTTATTCTTTTGTGAATTGCTATTCATGTCCCCAATCCATTTTTTCCTATTGAAATATCTCTTATTCACGTGTAAGAAAGCTGAGTACATTAAGGGTATTCATCTTTCCGTTACATGTGTCAAAAATATTTTTTTTCTTTGATTTTGGTTTGCTTTTCAATCCCAAAATTATATATTTTTTTCCACAGAGAGACCTTTTACATTTATACAATTCAAATCTAGCTGTTTTTTCAAAGTGATATTTTCTTGCTTATTCTTTGAAATTTTTATACATGTATACCTCACTCAGCTGTAGGTGGGCCACCTCCATCCAGACACCACGATTTCCTGTCTAGTCCCTGTCTTTTGAATTCATGCAGAAAGGACTTCCCCTTTATATCTCATTCAGAGCCTCCATGTTCCACTTCAGAATTCAAATCTTTCATTCCTACAGTTTTTTTTTTTTTAAACAGGAGAGGCACGAAGGAAGACACGTGTTTTGTTTTCTGATAGTAGCAGGTTGAAGTCACATCTTTACCTGTGAACCATCATTTTCCCATGACCAGGGCACACCTTTGTGTCGGGCTGTCAGTGCCTGGCTTTGGACTGTCCCTGTACCGTCCTTCTCATTTATATAGCTTTCTGTGTATCAATATCTGCTTGAAGTCTTAATCACTTGCCTCAGTTTTTGCCAAAAAAATGTTTCTTGGATATTTCCTCAGTTATTTTTATTCAATGGACTTTGGCGTAAATGTGGTAAAATGTCAAGAAAGCTTGAATAGGGTTTTGCCTGGGATTGATATTAAAGTGGAGAGGTTGGATGAGCGAGGATCAGCATGCCAACAACACGGAACCAAGTTTCACTTTATTTAGTAATTCTACATTTACGTTTCTAAACCACATGAACAAGGGTTACTGAATAAACATTTTAGCCTCAACATCGTCTGCACTGATGGACACATTGGAATCCATAAACAGTAACTGAAGATGGCGCATTAACTTGATACAGTTACAACTTAAACTCCCACCAGCCCAAGAGCTTATCCTGTTAGAATGCTTGCCAGCCAAACCTGAGAACCTGAGTTTGACCCCTGGGACTCATGTGGTATCCTCAGGAGGTACTCAAGAGGCAACCTCCTCCCCCACTGTATACACACACCACCACCAATAATAATAATAATAACAATAATAATAATAATAATAATAATAATACAATAAAATTAAAAAATATTACACAGCCCTTAAAAAGGTATCTCCAGCTGTTTACAGAAGTTAATTTAATTTGAACATTCGGTGAAAAAAAATCAGAGTTTTGGACAAACAGCCTTCCTCTTTCCCTATGCACACATCATCATGTGAAGTGTTGCCCAACACTCATCGAAGCAAAATAGACTGAAATGTTAATAAGCAGTTATCTTCGTGAGAGAGGTTATTAGGGATGCTGCTCAGTTTTAATTTCAGTCTTTCTTTGCTTTGTGGTTTTTGTGTCATTTGCAAGTGTCGGGTGTCCTAGCTGGAGCAGGATGGCAAACCTGTGCCTGCAGCCTTGGGAGGGCAGTGGAGTCAGGGTGTCGGCGGCGGATGCAGTTCCGCGCATGGCCGGAGGGTGGCAGTGTCCACTCGCAGACTCCGGCTGGTTGCTTGATGACCTTTGTCAGCCAGCGCAGCCTCTCGTTTATCACCGATCACAGAGTGGAATGAACATATTTACTTGTGTTTTGCTTTCCACTTATAATATCTAGTGGCATGGGAGGGAAATGAAAACAATTGTTCATAGGGGAAATTTATGAGCTTCATCTGGCTGCATGATCCCCGCAGTTGCCCCAGCGCCGCCCAGGGAGTGGAGATGGTTTCTAGCATCTCCAACCGCCCGACATCCCCAGAGGTCCTCGTAGGGCCTCGCAGCACTTGTCTCAGGCCGGCAGACTTTCCCACACTCCCCACCCTCTTGAGTTTGCAAGGAGCTCTATGGAGAGGGGCAGGTGTGTCATCTTTTCGGGTGGCAAGGTAGTCCTGGCTGCAGGCTGGATCCCGCCTGAAGCCTGGGCTAGCCTTTGTCTCTTGACAGTGCCCGTAATTCCTTCTTTTAATGAGCTGCCGCTGGGGCAGGGCTCTGTTGACCCCCTGGAGCTCCGAGGTCACGACAGGGTAGGAGGGAGTCTCTCCCTCTGAGGTTCCGGGAAAGGGGCAGCTGAGGGGCTTAGTGGTGATGTGTGCCTTTTAGGAGAGGATGGGGGAAGACCTGGAGACCTCTACTTCCAGCCTTGCTCAGAGGCTAGCCCCAGTCAGAGAGACAGGATTCCTCTCCCATGGAAAGGAGACATGAAACTCTCTTGTTTTCACCCTCCTTGGGCTGCCGGTTCACAAAACTTGCTGCTGAGAACCTGGAACCAGCTCTGCCCGAGGTACAGGCAAGAACAGGGGCAGAGTTGTCTGTGGTGAGATCAGTCCCTGACTCCAGCTGTCAGAATTTCAGCAGGGAGGATGCCATGGGGACTGCTGGGCTGTACCAGGGTGATGTGTAAAGAGTGAAACCTGGGCTAGCCTTAGCACCAGAGTGTGGAAAAGTGAGATGTGAAAACACAGAAGCACCTACCTGAGCTCACTGCATGGCAGGGAGCAGGTGCCTGTGAGGCTTCAGGGCTCCACGAGGCACACTGGCTGCTCATGCGCTGGGGGATGACAGCTGTAAACTGGTGAAGAAGATCTCCTGCAGACCATCCTAGGTCCACTATACTGTTCTCTCCCTTCCCTCCTCTCCAGCCCCTCCCTCCTCCCATATTTCCTTCATGTCCTTTCTCTATCTCCTCTTCCTTTTTCCTCTTCTCTCTTCTCCCTCCCCTCCTCTGTCCCCCTCCCCCTTTTAATTTCTTGCACCTCCCTTAGAAGATCTCACTCATCTCACTCCCCCCCCCCCATTCTCAGACCTGAGGTGGGCCTTCATGTTCTTGGGCTGGAATGTGGCCCAAGTGCACAGGCTCTTGCTCAGTGTTTGCGTTTGCATTGTTCCTGTCTGAGGCTGCTTCATTCAGTGTCCACCCCCCTTCTCCCCTGCCTGCAAGGGTGTGGCCTGACAAAGTGGTAGCTGACCTGAGATGCATCAGGGCACTTTGGAGAGAGTGCCCCTCCCAGGAAGCTCCTCCTGGGCACATACATACAGGTGAGCCTTTGGTGCCATCTGGCCAGCGGGGGTGCTGGACTTGGGGCACTAGCCAAGACTCCCCTGCAGTCCCAGTGCCCTGACTTGGGATTCTAGGAGGGAGGAGACTGAGTTCACCCAGCACAGATCTGGTCCCTGGAGCACTGCTCTGGCAGGCAGGGGAGACACAGGCTCCCTCTCTGTCTGCAGTATTCACGGAGCTCTAGGGACACTTGCACTTGCCCAGGACAGTGGTTTGACAGAGCAGTGTTTCCAACCCACAGCACCCTCCCTCGGCTGTTAAAATCCACCTTATTTCCCCAGCAGTCTTATAATCGAATTACTCAAAATTGCACAGCTTTATTGCACAATGCTAAACTTCAGGACAAACAAATGCCCAGGTAATGAACAATTATTTATGACAAATTATTACCTTTACTTTTAAGACTAGCGGTTTCCATTAAGCTTAGGAAAGGTGCCAGCTCCTCCCTGCCAGCCCCTCCTCCCTGCCAGCCCCTCCTCCCTGCCAGCCTCTCCCTGTCCCTCTCTGCCAGCCCCTCCCTGGAAAATGCAGTCTCATATGAAAGCACATGGTTCTGAGGGGCTCTGGAGGGTGCTGTGTTTGAGCACACACATGCAGCTGTTCCTGTGGGTGTGGATGGGGAGGGGCAGTTGAATGGTGGCCATGCCCCTGTCTCAGTGTGGGGCTGGGAGCTTTCTGTGGGGCTTCTGGTTTTCTTGTCTCTTTTGCACAGATCAAGACAGAGGCTCTGAAGCCCAGGAAAAAAGCTTCACTCTTCCATTTGTATTTAAGTTTTAGCATTTTTGTCTTGTTTGAAACTAAACTCAACTTTAAAAATTATTTATGGACTCAATAACATATGTTTAGATTATTGAACCCCCCCTTTTCCTTGGTTCTCATGAGCAGAACCATCTCCCGGCTAATTATAACATACAGTATTTTCCCAGTAGTCTTACAATCAAATTATTCAAAATTGCATTTCTTTATTGCATATTGCTAAAACCCAAGACAAGCAAACATCAAGATAATAAACAATTATTTATTACAAATTATTACCTAATATATAAGATTAACAGCTTGTAACTATTAAGGTTAATACATGTGGTAAACTGTATTTATTATACTTATTTTGGAGCAAATATCTTTGTATAAAACATATGTTTATGTATTGCAATTAATGAGAAAAAGTGTAAGATTAACAATTTATGTTGGGTTTTGTTTTTAGATTTATGCACACTGTAAAACTTATTTATTGCACTTATTAAAAGTATTTAATGATGGACTTTTAGATCCAGTCTTTTTAATGCGCAAATATAAACTAAAGGAGTATTAAATTACAGAATGGAAAATTATAACTGAAGTCAAAGAATCTAACTATTTTCAGCTATAAATCTGCCTTAAAAAGATTATCAGTAGAATTACGGAATCTTTAAATAGTGGCCTTTATAGTACATAATGAGTTTCAGTGAGCTGGTCTTTGAAAGGCTTTTTTTTTTCATCATTAAAACTAAACTCAACATCTTAGTCTTAAACGTAAATGTAGCTAGAAGCATAAACACTGAATCGTTCCGTTTTATGACCCAAAGTCACATCGGAGAGAAGAGAAGTGAGTCCAGACATGCTGGAGAAACGGACAGGGTAGAGAGAAAACTGGAGGCCAGGGTGGGGAGTAATTTAGCAGCTTGGCACCCGCAAGGACTTCCTCATCTCTGCCTGTCTCTGGCTGGCCCTCAGGATGATGGTGACAGGTCTACCCAGGGCTGTTTCTTTGCCACAGAGTAGAAACAGTCACATACAAAGGTGGTAATGCCTAGATCACTGGAGCAGAGTGACATCAATGAAATCCTCAGCATCTCCTGCTCTACTGGGTCAGAACCCCCAGGTGCTAAGTCAAGAGGAGTATCCTGGAGGGTCGGTGGGAGTGAAGGAGTAAAAGTGGCTTCCCGGAAAGACCTGATCATATTTTGGGCCATCCACATCTGTGTTGGTTATTTTTGTATCAACTAGAGTCATCTGGGATGTGGGACTCTGAAGTGAGAAAAATCCCTCTGGAAGACTGGCTTGGAGGCAAGTCCATAGTGCATTTTATTGGTTGAAGATTCCTAAGGAGGGGCCCAGCCCATTGTGAGTGGTTCCATCCCTGGATTGGTGGTCCTGGGTGGTATAAGAAAGCAGGCTGAGCAAGCCATGGAGAGCAAGGCAGTCAGCAGCACCCCTGCATGGTGGCTGCATCAGCTCCTGTCTCCAGGATTGTGCCCTGAGCCCCTGCCCTGACTTCAGTGATGGAGTGTGGCCTGAGGGTTGTAAGGGGATGCAAGCTCCCCTTCCCAAGTCACTTGGTTAGGGTGTTGTATTGCAATAGGAAGCCTAACTAAGACAATCTTCACGAACACTGTGCTATCCACGAGTGAAAGTGACTCCTGAGTTCACCGAGGAGGGAGACCCTCTGGAGAAAGAATCATGTGTTGGAGAAGACAAGCATGGCTCCTGGGGGGCAGCAGTATCTCTCCCCAACCCCGGTGTTTGTGGTTGGTGGGCTGTACCCAGACTTGCTTAGGAGTACTGGGACTGGGGTCCTGGGGAATCTGAGGTCCCCTCTGTTCTGTGTGGGTCCCCAAAGACACTGGGATGAAGTTAGAGGTCAGATCATCACTTCTCTGTTGGACAGCATAGATGTCCAGAGCTGAAGTACTTGGGAGCCTCAGACATGCCAACATTCCTGTGACCTCTGAGAAAAGATTGGCAAAGAGGTGCAGGGCTGGCTCCTGTAGCTTGTGCAGCCGCAGGAAGGGGATGGTGGAGGGGAGGAAGCAGAGAGACATGAGGAGTGTGCAGGAGACTTCGTCTCTCGGCACCTGCTGAGGAGTCTTCAGACTTTATGCATTTGCAGGATTTTATTTCGAATGCTGAAGTATCTCCTCTCCCCACAAAGAATTGGGTATTATTTGGAATATAGAACAATTTAAAAGGTTCTTTAAAAATCTGTAGCAACAAATTAATTCTTATTTTGTACAAAACTTCTGTACAACCCAGTCATATCTCACCTGGGTATGTACCCGGAGGAATCAGAGAGCACAGCACACAGATACTCCATACCCATGTTCATCTCAGCATGATTCACGACAGCTGAGACATGGGACAGCCTGATGCCGGTCAACACATGAAAGCATAAAGAAAATGTGGTGTGCACACACAGTGGAGTTTCATTTGGCATAAGGAGGAATACAATGACGTCATTGGCAAGGAAATGGGTGGAAGGGAAACAAGTCCAGTGCAGAGAGACATGTGCCGTCTTTGCTCGCGCACAGAGCCTGGATTGTGTAGATACATAGTGAGAATGAAGGGAGACTGGCTGGGAAACGGAAAGGGACCAGCAGGAAGAGGGCAGGGTAAAGAGAGGACGATGGGGCTGAGCACAAGGGACAGGATGCACGTATAAGAATGTCGCAGTCACTTTGTACAGTGAGTGTGTGGTAATAAAGTAAACTATTATTTTGGGGGAAGAGGTTTGAAACCACAGTGGGTGCTGTTTGGAGCTCCTTCCTCAGTGAGAACCAGTGACCATCCTCAGAAGGCTCATGGGAAGGTAGGCGAGTCACGTGGTTCTGTTTCTCCCTCCAAAGCATTGTGCAGCTTCGGTAGGCCAGGCTGAGTTCCTCCTCTGTTGGGCTTCCAGACTCCCCTGGTTCTCTGGCTTCCATCTCTTTGTCCATAGTCTGCTAAAGACACACTCATTTGCTTATTCATGAGTTCATTGGTTGGTGAACTCCCTCCCTCCCGCTATCTCATCCCCACTTCCTCCCTCCCTCCCTCCCTCCCTCCCTCCTTCCTTCTTTCCTTCCTACAGGTGTGTGCCACTACAGCAATCCACAAAGCATTCCATTACTTTTATTACAGTTTTTTTCACTAGGAGGTGGTTGGATACTCTAGTCTGGTCAATATTCAGGGACTACTGCAAGTACAAGTCCATGTACTCTAAAGACAATAACACGCTTATGGGTGGCTATAGTGGTGTACACCTCTAAACTCAGCTCTGAGGCCAGAGAATTGCTGTGAGTTTGAGGCTAGCCTGGGCTACATAGCAAGTATCAGGCCAACCTAAGGCTACTTAACAAGACGCTTTCTCAAAATCAACCATTGGGCTGGAGCAGAGGACCCAGGTTCAGCTCCCAGCACCCCCACACAGGGTAGCTTAGAGTCACAGGCAGCTCCAGCTCCAGCTCCAGGCCACTCTGGCCTCTGGGGGAACCATGCATGTAGTGCACATACATGTGCTCAGGCACACACATATACGCATGAAACAAATCTTTAAAAAAGTGCAACAAAAAAAAGAAGATGCAGATGGGACCAGCCAGGCAGGTGGATTCGAACTCACAATCGATCAGGATTTGATAGTGTCTGCTAGAGGGAACTGGCAGTGCTGATGGCTGTTGGCTGGAGTCAGGAAACAGTTTCCAGGGGGACAAAGTATGCTCCTTTGACCGAGGGAACCTCTTCTAGGACTTTATGCTCAGGACGTGACAGATGACAATGGCCACAGTGATCAGTGTAGGTGTGCACACATGTGTACGTACACCCCCATGCATGTATGTACACAGCAAACATACTGCACCACACTCCCTGCCTCTTCAGAGAAACAGACAAGTGCAGATGCTCAGGCACTGATGTGGCACGAGTCCAAGGTTTTACACTAGGCACATGGGGTGAGGACTTAAGTGGCAAGAACTGGGGCTTGAGTGTTTGCTAAACTTTGATTTCTTTCATGGAGGATGGAGCAGAGCTGAGGCGAGGTGGATGGGGGAGGCGAGCTTCTGCCTCGGCTCAGGCAGTCACGGTGACTCTATTTCCTCCTTTGTTCCAAGGATGCTCTCTCTCACCATGTGTCTCAAAAGGCATAAGGGTGGATGAGCAATCCTGTGGGAGGAAAAGGGTCTCAGAAGCAGGTAAGAGTCAGAGAGGGAGGTGCTCAGTCTTCGCATCACTGGATATGACGTGTTTGGTTGATATCCCTGGGAGGCCTGCTCTTTTCTGAAGGGAAACGGAGGAGGAGTGGATGGGTGTGTGTGTGTGTGTGGGGGGGGGAAAGAGTGGAGGTGTGGGGAGGGACTAGGAGAAGAAGAAAGAGGGAAAACTGTAGTCGGGATGTAATATATGAGAGAATAATAATATTAAAAGGCATATGGGATTTGGGGAGAAGGCTCAACGGGCAAAGTGCCTGCTGCATGAGTAGGGACAACACGAATTTGAATCCCCAGAGCCCAGGTAAAAAGCCAACAGGCAGCATGGGCAGCCCGGGCAGTGATGGGAAGGCGGAGACAGGCAGGTCTCTGAGCTCATTCGTCAGCCAGCCTGGCGCAATTTATGACCTCATGTTCAATGAGAGACTTTGTCTCAAGAAAAGCAAAAAGGCGGCGAGTGATGAGGAACGACACTCAGTGTTCACTTTTGACCTCCACACCGGGCATACACACACACACACACACACACACACACACACACACACACACACACACACACACACACACACATTTTCACCCTCATGCGCATGCGCACAGCCCCCCAAAGGAGTAAGGAATGCACATCCTTTAACAGACAGTCCCCCTCGTCTGCAGGAGAAAACCCCGGATGAAAACAAAGACTGCCCTTCGCAGTTGTGTTTTTTGCCTTTTTATTTTAGAAAATACAAAAGCGTGCAAAAGCAGTACACACAGGAACAAGATGCTCCTGCACACACTGTCCGTCCACAGTAGCTGTCACTTCCTGAGTCACGTCGTCTGCCCATTCCCGGGGTTATCTGAAGCCACCTGCACATACTATTTTATAACCATCAACAATTAAGAGCATCTCTCCAAGAGAGAAAAAGTATACACATCCTGGCTTTGGCTGCCTTTGAGGTGAGTGAAAATTCCCTAATATTGTTAAATATTTAGTCAATATTCAGTTTCCCTTGCCCGCCTCATAACCTTTCCGTTCAGTGAAACCTTTTCTGTGCTGGAATCAGACAAGTTCTACCCACTGCCAACAGCTGATGTACCTCGGAGGCATTAATCTCTGGATTCCCTCTCATTTTTTTTTTTTTTTTGGTTTGGTGTTTATTCAGGTTTCTGGTGAATTATCCAAGTGGGTCCCCACCATCGTGCTGTTATTTATTTATTTATTTATTTTTGGGGCCACCTCATGTGCTCAAGATACCTGTACGGGAGTCACAGATTTTCCACATATCATTACACCTACCACAGGTATCTTGAAGTACAACATTCCCACTTAAA